GTTCGTGAGCCTGGAAGGGAAGGAGGCGGGGGACCTGTCCCTGTGTGCTCAGGGGCCGCGAGGCAGGCTAGCCCTTCCCCCACCACGGCCTGAGGCCACCAGGAACCCACTTTGCGCCCAACGTGAGCTGGGCACTGGGGACGGCTTCCTGGCCCAAAGGTGTTCTCCACCCCAAATACCTGCCCTACGCCTGGGGGGATACCTGGGCCCTCGGTTTCATCAGCTGGTGACTGCTTAGGCGCAGGCATTTCCCTCTAGTGCAGACGAGAGAGGGTCCCCTAGACAGTGCAGGGGCCCCTCTGCCTTCTTGGGTCCTTCTCAGTCTGACGCTGGGCCAAGAGGGTTGAACCCACTGCCCTCCCGGAGGGCAGCGCAGGCAGGGCTGCAGGAGGACCTGGCCTGGTTGCCAGGAGTGGGTGGGCCTTGGAGGCCAGTGGAGCTGGGGAGGAGCACAGACCACAGCCTCTGGGGATGTCCAGCAGGCTCCGCGCCCAGCTTCTGGTTCAGTGGGCAGGGACAGAGGTGGCCGAATGCCCCTTGCCTGTCCTGGGAGTAGGACCTGCACTGTGGCTGATGGGGGGCCTCCCACGGGGCCGCTTCCAGCGCTTTCTGGGCTGCCCTCCACTTGCCAGCCTTGCTGGATGCCCACCCCAGCCTCTGCCTGTTGGTCATCCCGCTGGACATCTAGTGGGGACCTGGAAGCTCTCTGTGGACTTGATAGTGTAGACTGGGCCCAGGATTTCTGGGGTGCCCCCCTCCCCCAAGCTCCCTCTGCCTGTACCTTCTCCGCCACACAGCACTACAGGTTGGAGCGTGAACTCTGGGCCTACTCCGAGCATGTCTGCCAGGGCTGGCTGGTGGCCCACATGCCACCTGTGCCAACCCCCTGGACATGTCCCTGCCAGGCACCCCTGCACCCACTATTTGCGTCACTTGTCCACTCCCATGGCTTCTAAAGATGAGCCGGGTGTGGTGAGTCATGCTAGGCAGCCAAGGAAGGGTGCCTTCCACACCTGCACCCCTCTCCTCCCCTCCCAGGAGGCCCTGCACATGCTCCCCTGTCCCCCAAGGAAGCTGGCTGGCCCTCCAGGAGGCTCTCACCGGGAAACCTGGGCTTTCTGGCTGCAGAAACTCCTGTTACCTGCTGAGTACACTGTCTGCACACGGGCGTAACCATACTGTGACACCTACTTGGGGAGAGCTGGGTTTCTGTCACCCGCGGCCCCACATGTTCCCTGCATTAACTCACCCTTAAAGGCCCTGCTACAGGAGAGGAGCAGGGAAGACCAGAGGCCCCCCTCTCTCACTCAGTACCTCTAGCCTTTGAGTCCCACAGTGGCACTGGGGGTGCAGAGACAAGCTGGGTGAGCCCTGCCCTTAAGGAGCTCACGCCCTGCACATGCGTGTACACACATATGTCATGTGCAGACATGCAGTTACAGGCCCCAGGCATGTGTGAGGGGAGCTGGTGGGAGTCAAATGGGGACCAAACCCAAGCCAGGTACAGAGGTGAGCTGTGGACTGGGCTGGTCCACTGCCTGAGACTCCCGGGCAGGACTGATGTGGGGAGGGGCCTGGAGTGGCTCTGAGTGGCCAAGAACCCCAGGGGGTGCAGGCCTGGGCTGAGCTTTGCATTGCCAGGATGGTGGGGCGTGGTCTAGGAGGGACCTGGAAGCCAGGCTGCGGGGGTTAAGCTTGACTAGGCAGCCTGGAGATGAGCCAGGCCCTCACCTCTGCTGCAGGTGCAGTCGCCTGCAGAGCCTGGGAGCTGGGTGTGGGGGACGCCCGGCGGGCCTCCCGAGCCCGGGGTGAACGTCGGAGGCACACCATCACCAACGGAGTGGACTGTGACCTGGTGAGTGGGGCCCGGGGGGTGGCTCTGGGACTCTCTCCATCTTTCCTAGGATTGAATTCGGCCCCCATGCTTGGTCTCCTGGACCACCCCTCTGCCTGGGAGGGGGCAGCCAGGCCCGGGTCCCAGGGGAGGCCTGTGACAGGGTCAGTTCTAAAGTCCTCTCCCCCTACCCCGCCAGTGTGGCGCAGAGGTTGAGCACTGACCTAGGATCCAGGAGATGGCAGTTCGATTCCGGGTCAGGGCACATGCCCGAGTTGCGGGCTCGGTCCCCAGCAGGGGGCGTGCAGAAGGCAGCCGATCAGTGACTCTCATCCTTGACGTTTCTATCTCCCTCTCCCTTCCTCTCTCTGAAATCAATAGAACATATTTTAAAAATAAACAAATAAATAAAGTCCTCTCCCCACCTTAGGCTTGAATCCGCCTGAGGAATGGAATGGCCCAGGGTCAGGTCACGAAGCCCTTGAGGGCGATGGCCACCTGAGTGTGCTGTGGCAATAGGCTTGGCCCCGTCTCCAGAGCTGCCCCTGCCCTAGCCTGCCGCCCGAGGCTCCCCTCTGCCCAGCTGGCCCAGCTCAGCAGCTGCGCGCTCCCCGCTCGCCCTCAGGAGGGGGTGCAGAGCTCCAGTCAGTGGCCCGTGTTCCCAGGGAGGCCTGTGGGGGGCCCGGGACCCCCAGGAGGAGCAGGCTGCGTTCCCCGCACGTGAGGGCTCCCGAGCAGGCGCCACGGCGGGTAGGTGCCTCAGGCCCGCCCTGCGTGGGCGTGTGTGCTCACTGGGACCCCTGCGTCCCCGCCTGTGGCAGCTGAAGCAGATGGCGGAGCTGGAGCAGGAGAAGGAGGTGCTGCTGCAGGGTCTGCAGATGATGGCCCGGGGCCGCGACTGGTACCAGCAGCAGCTGCAGCGTGTGCAGGAGCGCCAGCGCCGCCTGGGCCAGAGCAGGGCCAGCGCCGTGAGTGACGCCCCGTCCCCAGGCAGAGTGACCCTCCCCCCCCACCGTGACCGCCCACCTATGCCAGGCACCCCAGGCAGGCGTAGAGCTGCCCTCCCTCTTCAGGGCACAGCGGCTGTCCCTGCACCCAGGGTGCTAGGACGCCCCCAGGCTGATGCTCCCCTACCAGCAGCACCCTCAGGCTCTGGGCTCTGAGCAGTAACTTCCAGGGGCAGGAGGGCGTCCTGCGGGGACTCCCTCGAGACACGGTGGCTGACCCTAGCCTGGCCCTGCTCTCTGACCACCCCGCCCCTGTTTCCTCTTAGGACCTTGGGGCTGAGGGGAGTCCCCGCCCGCTGGGGCGACTGCTGCCCAAGGTGCAGGAGGTGGCCCGGTGCCTGGGGGAGCTGCTGGCTGCAGCCTGCTCCGGCTCGGTGAGTGCCCCCAGCCACCCTGTACCCTGTCCTGGAGGCTGAGCCAGGGAAGCCAGGCCTGCCTGACTGTGCCCTCCTGTAGGCTCTGCCCTCGTCCTCCTCGGGGCCCCCATGCGCCGCCTTGGGCCCCACCTCGCCCCCAGCGCCCGGCTGGCAGCAGCAGACCATCCTGATGCTGAAAGAGCAGAACCGGCTCCTCACCCAGGTGAGGTGCGGGAGGGCCGGGGGGGCGGTGGTGGCTGGCAGCCTGGCAGGCCCTGACTGCCCCCCACCTGCCAGGAGGTGACCGACAAGAGCGAACGGATCACACAGCTGGAGCAGGAGAAGTCTGCCCTCATCAAGCAGCTATTTGAGGCCCGCGCCCTCAACCAGCAGGACACTGGGCCTCTGGACTCCACCTTCATCTAGAGGCCGCGGCATGGACATGGGCCTCAGCCTGACACCAGCCCTGGGCAGGCACCCCCTGATCCCAACCTCTTGGGCTGAAGACCACCTACCTGGCTGGCCTGGACGTAGCCCTCCCGCCTCCCAATCTGGGCTCCCCCAGACTCCCAGCCTTCGCCAGGCCCAGGCGGAGCCGGCAGGTGGGTGCCCCAGGATTCCCTTTCCGTCTAGGCCTGGGGATGGGGGCTGACCTGGGCCAGGACTGCGTTGTGCAGGCACAGCCTGAAGCTGCTACTACCACAGTCAGTGGACAGTGGGGGCCCTCCTCGCGCCTGCCAGATGTCAGGCCGCCCCGGGCAGGTGGGCTTGCGGCAGCCCCGACCCATGTTTACAGCCGCCTGCCTCCCGGCCCACCTGGGCTCCTGCAAAAGGTACTGGTCACGCTAGGCTGCACTTCTGCCAGCAGCCAGCAGAGGGCACCTCCTGCTCTGAAGCCCCTGCCTGCAGGTGTCTCAGGATGGTTGGGTGTAGGGGACCTTGGGGTGGGCTGGGACACCTGAGGGTCCAGCAGGTGACTGGGCCTGGGGGCCCAAGGGCATCTTCTCTCAACCCAGGATACCAAGACTAAGGGGCTGTCCCTCAGCAGGAACAGATGGAGGGGGTGGGG